AAAAGTCAAAAAATCCTAAATTATATGCATAGAATTAAGCATATAGTACTTTGTACACTACAAAAAAATGTCCATATAGAAACGGAATTCTAGCGACGGAATTTTATCCGTTTCTAAATTAGAAACGGAATAACAAAATCCGTCTCTAAATTAATTTAGGGACGGAATTTAAAAATCCGTTTCTAAATTAGAGACGATATTAAAATTCTGTCGCTAAATTAGCAACGGAATTGAAAATCCGTCTCTAAATTAGAAACGGATTTTTAGCAACGAATTTTATTTCCGTTGCTAAGTTAGAGACGGAATTTTTTTTCCCGTTGCTAATATGAGCGACGGATTTTTGATTCCGTCTCTAGATAATTTTTTAAACTAATTATTTCAAAATATTACATTAGATACGAATTATGTAAGTTAAATTCATCTCTAAACTAGAAACGGATTTTCAATCCCTCTCTAAACTAGAAACAGATTTTTAAATCCGTCTCTAAATTAGAGACGGATTTGAAAATCCGTTTCTACATTAGAGACGGATTTTAAATTCCGTTTCTAAACTAGAGACTGGATTTATTTCGTTCATTTATCATCAATTATGTGTGTAAAAGTAAACAAATAATATTTGGTATAGTTGGTAAGAGTTTCACTATTTGACATTGAGGTCACGGGTTCGACTCCTACTAACAGCTAGCAATATTGCGATTGGAGATTCAAGGAGCGTTACATGGAAAGCTGAGTCGGGTTGACCTGAGTGAGGTAGACCCAAATATCAGCTCTTTTTTAGATTCAAAATATTTTTTTCCGTTGCTAAATCTAGCAACGGATTTTTTTAATCCGTTGCTAAAGCTAGCGACAGGTTTATTTTTCCGTTGCTAAATCCAGCGACGGATTTATTTTTTCCGTTGCTAAATCCAGCGACGGATTTTTTTTTTGTTGCTAAGTCCAGCGACGGATTTTTTAAAGTTCTCTAAAGTTCGGGATATGGTTTAGTCAATAGAAGGTCCATGGTTAATTGTCCAGATGCACCGCGCGGAAGCCTAACCGTGAAGGGTTGGTGCGAGTGGATGGGACACCGCGAGTTTTAGAAAAAACTCGCTTTCATGGTTTGGTGAATTCAACATCTCGGATGTACCCTTTGTTGCACGGAGCGTTCAATCGGGTAGATGGAGCATGAATTCCCATAGGGTTATGTCCATATGTAGAACACATATGGGTTTCAGAATAGTGAGAAAAAAAAAAATTCAATCAGGAAGTAGGATCGAGCAAACAATACAAAAAACCGGTCGAAATTAGAACACATATTTCTGGCTCGGTATTGGGGGAAATTGGCGCCAGCAATCAGAGACTGGCGCCAGCTTTTAGCTGTAGCGCCTGGCGCCAATGCTGGCGCTACGGCTAAAATGCTGGCGCCAATGCTCTGGTCATTGGCGCTACTTCCCACATGCCTCAGCAGCTTTCTGTGATCGATAAAATTTTCCAGTTTCGCGCGGTGTTATTTCGGTCCTAGTTGTGAAAGATATTTCTCAAATTTCCTACGTGTAAAATCCTATTCTTTTAACTCATTACGGATGATCTTTCCAATGAGATCTTTTTTATGCATATGACAATAATGTTAATCAAAATTACGCACATGAAATACTTAGAACGTTTCGAGTCTCATCCACTCATTCTAAATCATTGCCGAAACAAATTCAGGAATTAAAATGGAAATCCTCCCCAGCGGAGTCGCCAAAAACTGTAGGGAATAAATTCAAGCGTTAAATCCCACTAGCTTGAACCCCACTGTGATCATACACTAAAGTACGGTGGCGTCCAAAAGGGGAGAAGATAGAGTAAAAGAGTCGCCAACAAGTTAACTTGTAAACCATTCACAGGGTGAAGGTTACACCCCTTAACGATCCAAGAGATCGTCAACTCCATAAGGTTTAGAACCAAATAAGGGTTTGGGAATGATGGTACAAATCCAACCTAAAAGAGATTGAACCTGCCCTAATAATAGGCCTCTACTTTATTCTGATCGTATTCATGTGCGCTTTTTAATTAACATGCAATCAATAGGTTTAACCCTAAACCTGTTTAATCTATGTTGGTTGAATATTAATGCACAAATAAAACTATTATTGGCGATCACTTGAAATTATAATCAAATTAACCCTAACAAGATTATTAATTATCTTATTAAGCGTGATTACAAGTACCAATTACCTTTAAACATGCAATAAAAGGTGTGATCAAGCAATAACAATAAATAAGCATCAAGCAACATAATAATAAATAAAATATCATGAATAAAAATTATAATCATAATAATAATCATAATAATATTCATAATCATTATAAATTATGATCATTATAATCATAATCACGTTCATGTTAATATTAAAACATAATAAAAATAGCAAGATCCTAGGCATGATACTAACAAGATTAATAGAAAATCCTAGAATGTCACTAAGCAATAAAAATCAAATCTTTAACCCTAACATGATACTAACAATCATAAATATTAGGAAGAACATAGAAAGCATCGTAACAATCATATTTAATATTAAAATTACCCTAGACATGATACTAGGAATATCATAATAACAATATAAACATGATATCTACATCATAATATCAATAAATCATTTAAAGCACTTACTTTGATGCCTCGTACCTCTTTCTAATAAAAAAAATACACACGTTAGTAACTTCAAGGAAAATAATAATCAAAGCAATTAAATTAAATAATTGAAAGAGAGATTTGGGACCAAACCCTCAGAATTTAAACCTTTCACGTCTAGGGCGAAGGCAACTTCGAATATAGCTAGGTGTTTCTAGATCTTGTGAATGCGGAATTTTGTATGTAAAAAGCAAGGTTAGAAAAAGAGAAAAAGATGAATTAATGAATGAATTGATTAGGGAAATCTTAAGGAGAATTAGCGAATGATAGAATAAGAATTGAAAACTGATTGTTGATGAGAATTGGTTAAAACTGATTGTTGATGCGAATTGGTGAATGAAAACGGAGTTTTTAATACGTAATTTATAGAGAAAATCAGCCAAAAAGATAAAATTAACAAAACAGAGTCTGGCGCACGCAAAACGAGATTGGCGCCAGGCGCCAACGTCAGTGCCAGGCGCCAACGTCAGCGCCAGACGCCAACGTCAGCGCCATGCGCCAATGCCTGGCATGTGACGCCAATCCTGTTTTTGACGCGTTTTCTAAAATCAGATAAATTTTGCTGTACAGGAGGATAAAATCGTATATTTTTCTCAAAAATGCTCTTTGATTTTAATTAAAACTCTGAAAAGTCAACAAAAGTCAATTTATCAATGCTAATTGAATTAGGAATGAAAAGAACCTTCTAGAAGAATCTAGAAGACTAAAACCATTCCTAATTGCATTAGGAATGATAAATCATATTAGGCCCTCCTCAAGATCATTGGGCCGCATATAAGGTTCAAACCGGGCCCAGTTTAGTAAATTTGCCATAACTTCCTCATTATTCATCGGAATTGGGCTTATAATATATCGTTGGAAAGGTCTTGGCAAGCCCCATCCAACTACACTACTATTGGACCCATGTCATGGACCAACTAAACTGGATTGGCTGTTTTCTTAAAATAAGTTTTCAAAAACAGAGAGAAGAGAAAAGAAATTAAAACTATCCGCAACACTAAACTTTCCACACTTTCGCTTCATTCGATTATGATTCGACGTGAAAGTTACTCATCACCGGGTTTGTTTTTTGGGAGACACAAATGGGTGTCTACACTCCCGCATCACATTCTATATTTAATTTGAGAGTTCTCTTGAGAATACAAATTGTTTGGGCCTAGTCCATTGTCCTAAGCCTATTGACCTGGAATTACGAAAATACCCCTCCATGATCCAGCCCATCATTAGTCAGAGCAAAGTACGGATTTACCCCTAATCTGTCCAATTAAGTACAACTTCTGCCACCTGAAAGTACGTCTATAAATAGCTCTCCAATCATTGATGATGGTAACTTTTTCCTAATTCTCTAACCTTCTCTTTCTTATTTCTCTCTCTCTCCACTTTCTCTCTCTAGAAAGTACATTCGCTGACTTAAGCATAGGAGGGGCTTTCCCGGGTCACACCCCCGGGGCAGTTAACCTTCTTTCTCTTTTGCAGGCCTAGCTCTCTGACAGCAAGGCATAGCTGAGGGAATTTCGGACATTCATTGGACATATCTCTAGGACATCTTGATTACCCTTACTACCCTAAGACTCCCAGGAGCATTCTGTTTCCAAAAACAGGTGGCGCCGTCTGTGGGGATAACTAACAAGAAGTCATGGTGAACACTAGGCGTCCCCGCATCACTCATCAAGATGCTACTAGGCAAGCTTCAATTCTCTCGGCTAGGGATGCTCACATATGTCGAGGAGATCATACCCAGGGCTCGTAGTGAACCCGAGAGAGAAGTGAACAGCCCCTAGGTGGTCACTCGCCGAGACTTGGACCAGCTGGCAGCCCAGATCAACAAAAACCTAGAGGAAAGCCTCAGGGCACTTGTCAACCAAGGGGTGGGGCAAGGCAGGCAGGGGAGCGCTCCACAGCCTAATCCTCCGCCTCACGTGTCCCATCTCCAACAAGCCTCCTCTCGGCCTCAGCATCAGACATCTCGTCACTCTCAGCCCAATCAGTCCCTTAACCCCCAGCGGGAGACAAGGCAGCCAAGCAGGCCAAGAGATGCTAGAGAGATCATCAATGACCGAAGGCTAAAGGATGGCGCTCTAGATGCCCGAGAGATAATCAACTCCAGGAGGGAGAACTCCAAGGAAGATAACAACCCCCCCAAAGAGGTCGAACTAGAGTTCACTCTCGGCATGGGTCAACAAGGTACCGAGACAGCATGGTTCACTCAGCTACCTCCAGACCTAGGAGAGGAACCGATCAGCCCACTCGTTCAGTAAGCAAAAGCCCCGAGCGTCCTTCTTCCCCTAGGCCACGGAGGCTCGGAATTTTCAAGAACATCACCCCCTTCAGCCAGGAGATAATGAATACCCCTATTCCTCCGAAGGTCAAGATCCCTACATTGGACCCTTATGATGGAAAAACGGACCCAACGGACCATCTGAACGCTTACAAAGCACAGATGGGAGTCCAAACCGGGTGTGAGGCCTCATGGTGTAGGTTCTTCCCTACTACTTTCAAGGGCATATCTCAGACATGGTTCAACAACCTCACCCCCGGGAGCATAAGAACGTTTGACATGTTAGCCACTCATTTCAAAAAGCACTTCATCGTTGGGAGTAGGCAAACAAAGACTAGCGTTCATTTGATGACGGTGAAGCAAGGGGAGAATGAAAGTCTTAAGGACTACATCAAGAGGTTCAACACCGAGTCTCAGCTCATCCCCGACCTCCAAGACAACGTTGCTCTCACAACCCTTCTCTTTGGGCTCAAATCTAACAAGCTGAAGTTTGAACTTGTCCATGACAAGGTGAGCACCTTCTCTGAAGCCATGGAAAGAGCTGAAAGGATCATTGAAGCTAGTGAGGTGTGCAAGGCGCCCGTAGCAAACAACAAGGGGAAGAGAAAACAAGAAGATAATTACCATGACAACATGAATAGAAGGCCGAGGAGGGTTGAGAGTGATGATGAAGGACTCAAGTACAATGCTGATAGGTGTGATATCTATCTGGAAATAAAGCACAAGGCTATTCTTCCTAAGCCTAACCCCAAGAACACGCCGATAGAGCAGAGGAACAAGAAACTTTGGTGTGAATACCACAAGGAGTGTGGTCATACCACCCGGAACTGAAGGGAGCTTAAGAGATCCCTTGACAAGCTAGTTGAAGGAAAGCTTAACAGATATCTCAAGTCCCCCCCGAAGGATAAGCAAAGAAAGGCTGCCAAGGAAGTGCAAGAAGCCCATAGCTCAGCTGATGCTAACTTGAGCATCAATGTCATAGCCGGAGGGTTTTCCTCCGGGGGTTTGTCTAACAGGGCACGCAAAAGTCACTTGTGGTCGCTCGAGGAGCCCATCTATGATATCGGCACTCCCTCATCTACCCCGAAGGACCCCCTCATGGTATTCGAGGATGTCAAAGGAAAGAAGATTCAAAGGCCTCATGATGACCCCTTAGTGATTCATATGAAGGTGGCCAATGCTAAGGTGAAGAAGATCTTAGTAGATAGTGGAAGTTCAGCAGATATCATCACATGGAAATGCATCGAGCAGATGCGTTTTGGAAGAGGTAACCTTACACCCCTGGAGAAACCCTTAGTGGGATTTGGGGGGCATCATGTGTACCCCTTAGGAACAATCAAGCTTCCTGTTCGTTTGGGGGAAAAGAAGAAAGGGAGAAGTTTGGTTCACACATTCTTAATTGTGGATACCCCTCTGCCATACAACATGATTCTTGGCCGACCCCTTCTCAATAGGGTTAAGGCTGCCATCTCAACCTATCACTTACTCCTCCAATTCGAGACTGATGACGGATCGGTGGGCAAGATATTTGGAGATCAGTTCGAGGGAAGAAAATGCTATGTAGATAGCTTGAAGTCACCTGAGAGCTCCGTCAATCAGGAGGACAAGAGGGCCAAGAGGAAAGCGATGGATATTGATGAACCCCAACACCCGGTCATGAGCATCCACATGGCTGAGAATCCAAAGCAATACGGTAGGCCTAGGCCTATTGAAGAAGATGAGAGCATACCCTTAGGGGATGACCCCGCTCGGACCGTGAGGGTGGGAAAGAACTTGGACCCCCAGCTCAGGGAAGAAATCATTCAAGTACTTAGAGAGTACAAAGACATCTTCGATTTTACAGCAGATGAAATGCCGGGCATAGACCCCGAGGTAATGACTCATGAGCTGAACATCAAGGAGGGCTACAAGCCCGTCAAGCAAAAACTCCGACATATTGGGCCGGAGAGGAACAAAGCCGCAGCCGCTGAGGTTAAAAAGCTTCTCGAAGCGGGTTTCATTCGAGAATGCCAATACACCGAGTTTCATTCGAGAATGCCACACAACCTTTATCACTAGCCAGGGGGTGTATTGCTATAATGTGATGCCCTTCGGCCTAAAACATGCCGGGGCTACCTACCAGCGCTTAATGAATAAGATCTTTGAAGGATAACTAGGCAGGAACGTTGAGGCCTATGTTGATGACATGATTGTTAAAAGCAAGGAAAGCTCGGACCACATAGCTGATCTAAGGGAAACCTTCACAACTCTTAGAAAATATAAAATGAAGCTTAACCCCAGCAAGTGTGTCTTCGGGGTGCAAGGTGGAAAGTGTTTGGGCTTCATGGTTGATCAGCGGGGCATTGATGCCAACCCCGATAAAATTCAGGCTATTCTTGACATGGAATCCCCTCGCAATGTGAAGGAAGTGCAACGCCTTACAGGCTGCCTGGCCGCATTGGGGAGGTTCCTATCCCGATCAGCTAATAAGAGTTTTGTCTTTTTTCAAGGCCCTCAAGAGGCCTAAGTTCTTATGGGATGAAGAAGCTGAGAAAGCTTTCCAGCTGCTGAAGGAACATCTGATGAACACTTCGAAGCTTGTTAGCCCCATCCCCGGGGAAACATTATTCGTGTACTTGGCCATATCGGATTATGCCCTGAGTGCGGTCCTTGTTGTTGAAAGAGATGAAGGCCAATTACCGGTCTATTTTATCAGCCATGCCCTAAAGGGGGTTGAAACCCGATATACTCTCATAGAAAAGGTGGTGTATGCTTTAGTGATGGCAAGTAGGAAGTTGAAGCCATACTTTCAAGCACACCCGATCAAGGTCCTCACCAGCCAGCCAATCAAGAAAGTGCTAGAGAGCAAAAATCATTCATCTCGAATGACGGATTGGTCGGATCAGTTGGCTGATTTCGGATTTGAGTTTGAACCCCGGAAGGCCATCAAGGCCCAGGCCTTAGCCGACTTTATAGTTGAATGCGCTCATAGGCATACTCCAATAGACACCTCCGCCCCTTGGGCTCTTTATGTGGATGGGTCGTCTAGTAAGGCCGGGAGTGGAGCTGGGCTAGTCATCATCTCCCCGGAGGGTGAGAAGTTTGAATATGCAGTCAAGTTTGTGTTCCATGCATCAAATAATGAAGCTGAGTATGAGACTCTTATCTTAGGGCTAAGCTTGTGCCAATTCATATAGATAAAATCTGTTCAAGTGTGCTCAGACTCACAGCTCATAGTGGGGAAAATGACGAAAGAATTTGAAGTGAAGGAGGAGAACATGAAAGCTTATTTTGAAAAGGCTGAAAGTTTGACAAGATCGTTTGACAACTTTGATATCAGGCACATCCCTCGCTCAGAGAACCAACAAGCTGATGCTCTTGCCCGATTAGCAAGCTCGGTTGAGGGGATAGCCCCCCGGAACATCATGTGGGAAGTGTTAGAAAAGCCAAGTACCCAAAGACCCGCTGATGTGTCTATTTTATATAGTATTTTACCCCCGTCCCTTGATTTAATTAGTAGTGTTTTTGGCTCTTTAGAGCCACTTTTATTACTAATTGGTGCTTTCTAGTGTTTTCGTAGATTAGGTTGACTTTTGCAGGGATTTATACTTTTTGAGTATTTTCCCGAGATATTTTGGAGCAATCACGAGCATTGGAGAAGCACGACCGGATTTTATAGCCCAGGACCGGTTAGAGCCATCGAACCGGTGATTAAGGGCTCGGTATAGGTGATATCGGGGAATTTGGACTGAGTATTCAAGACCCAAAGAGGAAACCCATATTGGCCCGAAGAATTGGAGCCCAATCGAAGTCCAAATAGTGGCCCAAATGAGCTGCCTGGCCAAAGAGGCTAGCGCCCGAAGGCGCGCCCGGCCGGGCGGGAGAATCTTAGTCTAGCGCCCGGTGACGCGCCCGGCCGGGCGCGAGATTTGTACTATGATAAAAAAGGCGCGCCCGATCGGGCGGTGCCTCGCCCGATCGGGCGCGTGTATTTCTTAGTAGACGATTAACGTCGTTTTAATTTGTTTTAGTTTAGGAATTTTGTACGGAGTATAAATAATCCCCCGTAATACGATTTTAGGACCACTTCTTCTTCTCCTCTTTACTTTTTCTTTACTCTCTTAATTATTCTCTTAGAATTCTCTCTCTAAACTTTTGTTCTTAATTCTACTCTTAATTCTAGATTTATTTCGGTAACGATTTCTCTTCCCTTAATCTTAGTTATTTATTCTATTCCTTTAATCATGTCTTATTTTATTGCTTTGATTTGTTTAGTTTCTATTATGTGTGAGTGATTTAATTTCTAGGGTTTATGGGGATCTAATAAATAATATGAAGGGGTAATTTATTGTTGTTGATTATCAATGCTAGATTAATTTCCTGTTGATTGATTTAATGCTCTGTGACTTGATTTGGCCTATCTTTTATGCATGAGTTTGACAATATTAATTCAAGATTCGAGAGATGAGAATTGATGTTTAGGTCTAGTTTCAATAGGCAGATTAATTTATAAATGGTTAAGTTGAGATTCGAGAGATGAGATTTAATACCGGTAGATTAATTCTGTGATTGTAATACGTAGCGAAAGCCCTTTACAATCTGGTTAATTGATGCATTGATGATTGACTATTATTGATTGTTGGTATTGCAAGATAATTTCTTATTGAATTGTTTTAACGTTTTACAATTGCGGCTTGTAAAAGTATAGCAATATTGACTTGATGAATCGAGCAGATGTTAATTTGATATTAAAGGCTATTTTCAATAAGAACTTAGATCTAGTAAATTGCGAGAGCCTGTTAGATCTATGTTGATTAATAAATTGCGAGAGCCTGTTAATCATGTTATTTATGCAATGTCAATGATTGATTACTATGTTTTACCCTGGAGTATTATTTATTGGTGAACCTATGCCCTAGATCCTTTTATATATTGCTTTTTCCCCTATTCCTTTTCCTTGTAGTTTAGTTTCATACACAAATATAAATATTGGTTACTTAGATAATTTAGATTATAATAATTAATTAGGAGTAAAAAGACTTGTTTCCCTGTGGAGATCGACCCTACTTCCCTATCTACTTTAGTTAGAGGATTTAGGTATTTACTTTTGATTAGGGGATACGACTTTACCCTGTCAAAATTTGGCGCCGTTGCCGGGGAAACGGTTTTATTTTTATTTCTTATTGTTTTTGTAGTCTAGATTATTTCCCTTTTTGTCTCAGAGAGCGATAGTTCTCTGAGACAAATCTGACAGTTGCTTCTATTTTTTGTTTATGCCCAAGTGTTCCAGATCAGGTTATATCCCATTCGATCCTGAGATCGAACGTTCCTTCCATAGACAGAAAAATCTCTACAAGCAAATCCTGGCGGATTCTGGTGATAATAACAACAATCACCGCGATCCTCCAACTGATTCCAGCGATTTAGAGGCATCATCAGACGCAGAATCAGAGATGACGGCTCCAAAGAAGCTTAGTGATTATTCACAACCAAAGCTTACGGATTTTCCACATCTCACCCCTACTTCGGCTCTTGATGGGGTTCAATTTGAAATTAAACCTCAATTTATAACGATGATAGAGAGGAAGCAATTTAGTGGAGCCAAAGGTGAAGACCCGAATCTTCACATTGCCGAATATTGTCAATATTGCAACACCATCAGGCAAGCCGGGGTCACTCAAGACCAAATCAGGGAGATTCTCTTTCCCTTCTCTCTAATTGGAAAAGCTAAATTGTGGTTTAATGGCTTAAATAGAACTACACTTGGTATAGCTGACTAGGAAACTCTTGTTTTGAATTTCTATAACAAGTATTATCCTGCAGAGAGAACAGCAGTACTACGAAGTGCGATT